ACTATTCTTTTTTAGGTGAAGAAGAAAGCAGCTGAAGCAGCAGATGATGATGATGAAGCGTCAGAGAAGAAATACAGAAAATGTGAAAAAGCTGGATGCACTGCAACATGCCCTGTTTGCTTTGCCAGTGCAGCAGAAAGGTTTGTTAGTTTTTATTTGCATTTTTCATGGACTTTCTAAATCTGCAGCTGAAGTTTAGGATTCCAGCTTTATTCTGAAAAATTCCTTAATATCTAAATGTAGAGGGAGAATTGAAAGATACTGCTAATAGAAGTCTTAAGGTGCCAGGAAAATGTCACAAGTTATTCCTGTTGTCGATACTTTTCTCCTGTGCAAGTTGCTAATTCAGATACAGAGTATCTTTGGGATATGCTTATTTATGTTATTAATGGTGTCGTCTGGAACATGCCTTGCTGGTATGAAAGTGAGAGCATATTAATGTAATCTGAGAAATCTAAATTTGCTTTCAAGATGGAAAATGAAACCATCGTTTACTGTAGAAAGTCTTTACCCCTCCTTCACTGGAATGCTTTGCAGTCTGAGGTGAGATTCTAGCCTTGAAATTTTAGGTCTTAGGATAGTCATACTTATATGAACTCTTTGTTCTTGTACACTTCCTCTGTACTTTCACAAGTGCTTTTGCACTTCGCTTTCTGACTTGGTGGTTTTGAGTGCATGATACTGGCAAGGTATACCTATAATAGGCAACAAGATAGACCTCGCTATGAAGCAGCCACACTGTAGTTACATATCACTCTTCCCTCCCTGATAATTGAGACAAACTTTCCTTCTTCATAGCACTGAAAAATAAATAAAACTAATTACGTGTTTAATTTAGTTATATCCATGGATTGTTCTTTTGGTGGCAGGAAGTCAATGTATTCTGGATGTTGTCACAGAGGAGCCAAGTGTTTTGGCAGTTGCTTGAGAGACTTGTCTGGGAAGTGAGCACCTGTGAGATCATCATTGGTGATATTACAGTTTTGATTTAGGAAACAATGCATACTGCCTACTCATCTTCTTGAATTGTTTTTTTATTATTTTGATTTTCACCTTTCCCACTCCCTCAAGTACATACTTTCAACTTTATGTATTTGAGATGAGCTCATTTCATGGCTATTCAAGTTAGTAGTTTAGGTCACTGCTTTTTACTTCATGCATTTATCTTGAATAATTTCATTGAGTTTAATGAGGGCATTCTAAGTGAAGAACGATTGCTTTATCTGATGAATGTAATCTTCGTAATGGATATTTCTTTTTGAGACTAGCAAAGAACAAATGCCCAGAATGCGTAACTGCTTCCTTAGGGTTTTGTCCCACTGGGTTAAACAGCATGGAACGTCTGTTTTGTGTTCAGATTTGCCTTTATAGATTTGCCAGTTGTTCTGGGGACAGAACATTGTAATGACTTATGAATCAATTGATCACATGTACAAGAAAAATGCTAATTTAAATTATCCCTCCCAACTCTGCACTAATATTGGAAGAAAATACACCAAAGTAAAGGAACTCTAAGTTCTTGTGGAGAGGAGTTTTGTCATCTTACACATTTCCAAAAGGCTCAGTGTGTCACAGCACATATTCACTGTTTCATGTTCAGGAAATGCCTGCTTACAGGGTACTAAAGACAGACTCAGTTGACCATTGTTAGAGGGAGGCTGCTGAAAGCGAGACCAACTATAGAACTGCACATTGTGTATACTTTGCCTCCCCTGCATGTGGTGTTGATTAGTTTGGAAACTGGAAATGTTTGAGACAATTGGAATAACCTTATTGTTATTTGTATGGCTGTAGTGCCATGTGTAAGTCAGCCTTCATGAATGGTAGCATAAAGCCCTAGCTTGTTCTGAATATTTTGTTCACATTCTAGAACGTGTTACTGTCAATAGAAAGATTCCCCCCCCCCCGCCCCACCCCCCCAAATGTACTATAAAACTATTTCTATGTCTCCTGCATTACAGATGTGCAAAAAATGGGTATACGTCAAGATGGTACCATCTGTCCTGTGGGGAGCACTTCTGCAATGAATGTTTTGACCACTATTACCGAAGGTAGATTTACCAATTAAGGTTGTGTCCATTCAGAGCTTATTAAAGTTTGGCAGCTGTTACAGCTGTTAAAACATCGTGTGTCGCTGTCGAGCCAGGATGGGAATGAGAAGACTCTGACCAGAAGGCTGCTGAGAGTAAAACTCCAATTTATTTAAAATATACTGCTCTTTTATACAGAGCTTCGCAAAGGCCAAATCCATTGGTTCTGAAGTGAAAACAACTCACAGCATTGGTGCAAAGTGCTTGATGCACAGTGATAGAACTTAACTATAAACAATGTGAAAAACAAGAGAGATAAAGAATTATTTACATTCTTTCCTAGCTCTTTCCCAGGCTTTTTGCCTGGCTAGAAATTCTCAGTTTCTTTCTTTGACTGAATCTGAGACCCACAATTGTGTACATAAACATAATACAAAAATTGGTCCTCTGTGCTTGCTTTGGTCAGAGTGAGGCTTAGACATTGATGATAAAACTGCAGGTGTTGTATGGACTAATCAACCTCTACAGGGCAGCGTGACCAAAACTGGTTAGTTTAGGCAGGCTGGTTTGCATGTGCAATTATTCTGAAGCTTTTGTCTTTCTTAAAACAATGTCAGAGAATTTTAAATTATGGGAACAATTATGAGTAAATGTGTTTTCCTTTATAAATTCACTTTACACTGTGCATTGGGGAGATATTGCCTCTCTAAAGTAGTACAATAAAAAGCAATTAGAAATCGGTTTAACTATTGCAGTTCAGTGACCATGAAGACTCTTACCAGGCTGACAGAATGCTTTCTGCTCCAAGCTCCTTCCCATTTGACTAGGAGTTACATCCAGCTCTACCAAGACTTTTGTGTGCTTATGTGCTCAGCAGTACCCATCACTCAGTCCAGGCCTTAGATACCAGGAATTGTGATCATAAGCAGCTGGACATAATGGTCAGGATGCAATTTATTTCTGTCGTAAGAACCATGATTCTCTCCTTTTAACTACAGAAATACAGTGCTCTCTATAGACTTATTTCTCTGTCCTTATATAAAATGTTTAATTTTAGAGTAACTGCTATTGCTTGAAGCGAACTAGATATTCAGTTTTCTGACTGCTTGCTGTTTTCTCTTTCTTCTTAGCCATAAAGATGGCTATGAGAAATACACTGCCTGGAAAAGGATTTGGACAAGCAATGGTAAAAGTGAGCCCAGTCCAAAAGCCTTTATGGCTGATCAACAGCTTCCTTACTGGGTAAGGTGAAAGGTGATTTATTTAATAGGAATGTGATGTTCTGTTGTGTTTCTGATATTCTGCTGTTCAAGCAGCAAGTCAGCTGAGTTTTTGTGGGTTTTTTTCCCTAGTATTAGAGGATTGTGAAAAAGCTCAAGATAAAAATTCTGATCAGCTCCTCCACTGATGGAGACTTTCTCCACACCACACAAAGACCAATCTTCTGTTATTTTTCAATGAAGCAGCAGTTGTGATTTTCAGGTGGAATAAGATTTGGCAGGAAAAGTATGAGGGTGAAAGACTTTGAAATCAGATTTTGTATTTCCCTGGTAAAAAGAGCAGAAGAAAGATGGGAATGGAAGGAAGTTTGGTGGTAGTGGTGTTTTGTTTGAGTTTTTTCTTGTTTTTGCTTTAAGTGATGAAGAATATATTTTTGAAGTAATGCTTGCAAAGTCTACTAAGACCATAGTAATAGGGGAATTGAATTAATTTTGGCCTTAGGTTCTGTGCAAAAATTCAGTTTTGCAGAAACGGGTACAAGATTTCTGTAGATCAAAGAGTACTCATGACCTGATGATTATCCAAGAACGTATTTAACAATTGTATTTTACAACTTTCTCACGTCTGGCTTCTTTCTAATTGGTTATTTAAATTGCATTAATCTTATCTGTAATCACAAGCAACAAGTAAAAACATGTTTGTTTTTTGACTTGTAGGTGCAGTGCACAAAGCCAGAATGTGGTAAATGGCGTCAGCTGACAAAGGAAATCCAGCTGACACCACAGATAGCAAAAACCTACAGATGTGGTATGAAACTGAACAATTCCACCAAGGTACCACACAACAGTTTTGCTCATATTGAAACTTAACAGGTTGGGATTTCTTGTTTGCAGAAATTAATTTCTTCTTGCTTGCTGCTGAGTGTCTGTAATGTCAAAATGAAAGTCTGATGGCCTGGAGAGCTGCACAGTGAGAGGCCTACATGTTGCTTGGACTTTTTGTTTTCTGTCAAGAAAGAAGTATCTTTGTCTGCACAGTCAGTTATAAAATCCTTCAGCTAGGGGATTATTATCAGTATGTACAAAATAGAAATACACCAAAATTCTCATTTCAGTTTTGTGTGGCCTTTTTTCAATATTGAGGAAAGCATTTGAAAAACTCAATGAGCTTTTCCTAATTGCTATCAAGTCTGTCATGGAGCTTTACATAAAAAGTTTCAGCTTTGGCATGAAGACAACTCCTGGAATTTGGAAGAGTCCTTAAAGTGCCATAGAATCTGTATGGTGCTTATAACATGAAAAAACAGAACATGAAAATAGTGACCATATGAAAATGAGAAGGGTCAGCATTTAATTTTGAAACTCTGTGATAAAGATGATCTTAAAAAAAAAAAAAAGAAACTCTCTTTTATTGTCTAGACTAGAAGAGTTGCTCTGGAAAAATGTGGGATATTTCCAGAATTTTTTCTATAAAACGCTGTGGTTTTTTTCTGAATTTGTTTCAGCATTCCACCCCATTTTATGGACTAGAATGTATTTTAATGTCAGATCAGTAGAAACCAACTTAACAAATGAGAAACATTTTTTAGAGTGCTTTTGCTTTATGGTGTGTTGTGTTTTTAACCTACTAATTTCTCTACCTTTTTTTTTAACAATCATGTCTACTACAGAAGGCTAACATTAAGCACTTTTTTTTTTTTTTTTTTTTAATTTAGTGAAAATTGTCTTGCTTTATACTTAATTTTTTTTCCATACAGCTTTAGAATAGCTCTCATACCCTTTTCTTTCAGACTGAGGGCTCAGACCAGTGTTCCATGCCTGAGGACTTGGTGAGTAGTGGCTGTTCCTCCTCATTTGTCCTAGAACATAAAAAAAAATCTTGAAGCATGCCATATTTATTTCCATTTTATTTTGCTTCTTTGGCCAATTATGTCAGTATTTATGCATTTTGCTCAAGAAACTGAGAGAGAGTATTTGCAACAGAGCCTTGGGCTTTTTATTTTCTCATCTTTTTCCTCTTTTCCCTTACCATACTAAGTAGCTTTCAAGTGGTTTGTGGTGTCCTTTAGTCATGGCCTGTGACTCAAAGTTTACTCCTAATTCTCATTTTTGATCAGGCAAAATAGTATTCAGTTGCCAGCTTTTAAGTAAAATTCCCCATCCTAAAATTTCCTTGTCTTTCAGGTCTTTTAGTCAAGCTAGTCTCACTTTTTTGAAGACTGCAAGAGAACACCTAAGCATGTTTTCTCTCCTCTCTCTTGTAATACAAAATGTACACACAAGATGTATGTTGGTGTTTGTGATAATGTCACCCTGCATTTCTGATTTTGTATAAACTTATGTTCAAAAAGCCATGTTCACAAGTGTACCTGAGGTACTTCTATGTGTTCTACAGGGTACTTCTACAGGGAACACATTCAAGCTTATTGTTGACTCTTGTAGAAGCTTTCTAAATTAAGGGTGAATCACTAGCACTTATTAGGGTTTTAGTAGGTCTTTGATGGTGATAGCAGAATCTAAATTAAATTAATCAGTTAGTGTGGACTTAGAACTAAGTTGAGATTTCTGGATTCATAAGTGACTGTAAATGTTTTATAAAGAGCCTGATAAGGTATAGACGTGTGGTTATGGCATGTCTCATTTATTTGCTTTCCACATGGTGTGGAGTTTGTGAAGTTTCAGCTCCATGTCTGAGAAGAGATCAATACTGCAGGTTTTCTGTGTCAGGCTGAGGAAGGGGAAAGAGGGAGAGAAAATGTCTTTATGACTTGCAATTCTGAGATTGGTACTTCTTGTGCTTTTTGGTCTCAGTTTTGGTGGGAGGGGGGAAATTGGTTCATTTTCCAACGTTTTTGAAGTACTGACATGTTGTCTTCTCCCCTCTTTCCTTTACTTCTCCGCTTGGCCAGAGAGTGGCTGAAGTTTCAGACCATTGGTGGTACTCCATGCTCATACTCCCTCCTTTGCTGAAAGACAGTGTGGCAGCTCCCTTTCTAGCTGCATATTACCCAGACTGCGTGGGCATGAGTCCATCCTGTACCAGCACTAATCGGTTACCTGGTGAATCCAACCTTGTGAAGTTAGAGCACCTAAAGAGCGTGCCTAATGTGACTGGTAAGGGCCATCTGCAGGGCTCTGTTACTTAAATAGGTGTGATAAATTCTGTCTTATAAGTGAGTTTATAAGGCACATTTATTCCCCTGATTCAGAACACTGGTTCTGTTCTCAGTACTAATACACAGAGTCTGTGTGACTGCCTCTGTCGCTTGATGCCATTTGCTTGTTTGTAAGCTAAAGGTAATACATTTCTTACAGCTTTTCTTTAGGGAGTAAGCACAGACTGCAGAGGCTTTCTGTGTGCCACTGTCTTTTGTGTACAGAAACAAGAAATTTCCATGTGGGTACTTAAAGACTGCATTCTTTAGGAAATGAGGATTTATCAAAAAACTCTAGGATTCTGCCAGTTTTTATCTCATGGATCTTTGGGGCTTTAAAGAAAAGAAATTGATTTCTTAAGGCATTCAGATTCTGTTTAGGTTTCTTTTTTTTTGCTAGTAACAGCCTGGGAGTGCAGATCGGCACAATAGGTGAGGTATAGAGAAAGGTAATTCAGGATTGTCATACTCATCTCAGAGAGAGTGCTTTGAGGAAATTTCAGCTTCTGTGTTGTCATAGCAGACTTTGTTCTCCTTAGGTGCTGAAAATAAATCTGTTCATATGTTCAACAGATGTTATATCTGCTTAACAGAAAACTTCATTACATAGAGATACCAATGCTGAATGTGGAAGATGATTAACTATGACACTCCTCTGGGCAGTATTGGGTGTTGAAGAAGAAAGGAGTTCAGAGTACTGCCTGAGTCTGTACAGTGATGCTAGTCCTCACACTTGAATTTAGATCCTACTCCTTGTTGGACTCCTCATGGCATTGGAGCATTACTGTTTCTTTGACAAAACTTCAGCTCTGATAGGTCCCAGGTGTGCCCATGAGACAGCAGGACAATAATTAATGCACAGCCTAGAGGGCAAGAGGGAGGAGAGCCATGCTGATGAAATCATTTTGGAGTCTCCTAGAGGCTGGGAAGCTTCCTTACTTGTTATCTGTGTGAGGTCAGCAGATTGTTTTAGAGGGAGAAGGACATGATGAAGAGATGATGGAGTATGACTAATTCTTGGTGTGTTCTTTATTAAGTTGCAGGCATGAACAAGTATTTCCAGCCTTTTTACCAGCCCAATGAATGTGGGAAAGCACTTTGTGTGAGGCCAGATGTCATGGAATTGGATGAGCTCTATGAGTTCCCAGAATATTCACGAGACCCTACCATGTACCTGGCATTGAGAAACTTGATTTTGGCTTTGTGGTACACAAACTGCAAGGTAAGAGATGCTCATAGTTAATTTGTTTGTTTAAAAACAATAGCAGCTTTTCTGGTATGGGAACTCACTTCTTGGATGTCTTCTTATGCAGCAGAAAAATTGCTCCCATGTTTTCGAAAATCCATTCCAAGATTGGCTGTGTTTTGGGGGCTTGTTGGTGTTGAGAGTTTTCTTTTTCTCCCCTCTTTCCCCCACCCCCCCATTTTTTCCCATTTCCCCCCCTTTTTTTCTCTTTTCCCCCTATTTTCCCCGCTTCTCCCTTTCCCTATCCCTTCCCTGCATAGGAGCTTCTTCTGCAGTACAAATCAAAAGTTTTTAATTACTATCACTCTACAGTGCTTGCCCAGCTATTAGCTTTTTAAAGGGATGCTTGAACACAAAACAGTGTTTTGTGGTGCTTTACGATTTGATTTCTCTTTAACCTGATTGTTGCACAGGGAAGTGATTGTCGTTTTATTTAGGCTAAACCTATGGCACTGCCTTTGATGGAACTGCTGAAGTTTCACATACCAATGCTTTCTGATATGGATGTCTGCATTTATGTGAAAGATTTGGATATTAATCTCATTTTCCTGCAGAATGCCATTTTGGAATGGATTTTACTGGAATGCCATTGTGAATATTGCCACCATGTAGATTAATTTTGTAAATCAGAATCTGTTTCAATACCATGCCTGTACTAATGGAACACACCATGGAATTATCAGAAGTCCCTTGTAGACTCATTTGGTTTTATTCCATCCTAATCTTACTTAATAAATTGTTACCTTACTGTGTAAAGCTCGCTAACAAGAAACTTCCACAAAAATTCTTTTAAAATGCTCTCAGAAGCCTCAGGTATGACTTTTTACCATTTGGTTTACAGTTTAAATATGATGTAAATGTATAAATAAATGGAATATTGCAAAATCAACAATTTCTATTCTTCCTTTCTCCTTTGCAGGAGGCTCTCACCCCTCAAAAATGTATCCATCATATAATTGTTCGGGGGCTTGTGCGGATCCGCTGTGTACAGGAAATGGAGAGGATCCTGTATTTTATGACAAGGAAAGGACTAATTAATACAGGGATTTTGTCAGTCAGTCCTGACCAGTACCTTCTTCCTAAGGAATACCACAATGTAAGTTGCTGTAATAACCCCTACATTTTTAGTGCTATGAAACTACATGGTGCAGGCAATAATTTTTTTGGTTATGGATTTTTGGCTCATTTACATAAATGGATGGAATGATAGGTAAAATTACATCTAAAACCTAATATGTGGGAAGTTTTAAACATTGTTCTCTTATGCTTTCAATGGGCATGGAAACGACATCCTTCCAAAAAAGATTTTTTCTTACTAAATCTCTGGAATTCATTTCCATGGATTTGTGCTTCCAATGTGCTGTTCAAATGGGAACTGTGTGAAAAATACACAGGTTCTGTGGCTCCTATAACATACCTCTGCTTCCATAGGTGAGGAAGCTGCTATTCCAGGTTGGTTTGCAAGAACTGTGAAAAAGTCATGTTTATGACTAGCAAGCTGTTAGATAACACTCAAAACTTATTAAATTACTGTATTCTGTAACAGGGTATCACCTAGAAATTGTAAGTCATGTTTGGAAAGTGTATTTGTAGATGTTTTTTATTTATAAAGTGGTTTTTAATGGTCATCCCAATCTATGATTGAAATCTTTACAAGGTAGGTATGTTTCTTGTCTGATAAATTCAACTAGATTCCTACTTTTGGGGTTTTTTTGTTACTTCAGCTCTTTCTGTTAAAAAAAACTGAGGCATCTTCTTTTGAAATCCTTAAAAACTTTAACTATTTTCAAAGCTGCCACTGACCTTTTTTCTATATTAAATGCACTGCCATCTTTAAAAGTTATCACAGATTACTTTAGATGACAAGAGAGCCTAGACTCCTGAAATGTTTTTACCTTTAGCAAATAAAAGTGAAATTACAATTTCTATTTTATTTCTAACTATTTTTATTTAAATACTTTAATATTTTTTAGAAATCTGTCATTATTGTTGGGGCTGGTGCAGCAGGATTAGCAGCAGCCCGACAACTGCACAACTTTGGAATTAAGGTAAGAAGCTTTAGAGGACATTACTTAAAAAAATCAGACTTCCTCTCTTTGAAAAGTGTTCATCAAAAATAAAAAGCCTACATTCTTATTACAAACTTATATGTATAGAGCACCCTAATTAATCTGTGAAATCTGGGATTTTACTGAGTAAGCCTGCTGTTTAAAACCAGCATTTATTTTTATCTAAAATTAAACAGCATGCAGCATATATTTTGTATAGACAGATCATTGTGTTTAATAGACTGTAGCATGCCTTAAACTTCAATTTTGAGATTTCCAGAATAAATCTTCAGCTTTTTAAAAAAGAAGGCTTATTTTTGTAAGGGTTGTTTCTAAAGTAACAGTTATATTTAGATGTGCATACTACAAAGTGTAACCTAAGATGATTTAAATGCATAAATTAACTACAA